TATCATCACCAAGTTGTTGTTTCATTTATGATAACCTGAGTAGTTGAATGTTATGGAAGCCCTATTATGACATGATTGTAGTGAATTTGACTGATGGGAAAATATTTGTAAGAGCTTATTTATGTGTTGGATGTTAGTTACGAAGTATGTTGCTTATTTTATACTTTACACAGTAAAATGGCTGTATATGATAAGATTAATTTGAAGTTTATATACGATTTGGAACAAAAGGAAAAAAAAAAGCATTAATTACTGGTGTGTAAATGAAGGTTTACTTAGTAGCCATTATAAGTGTCCTGTTTGTACGAAAAAAATGCATATGGTTGAACATGACGATCATTCAGATGGCTTTGAATGGGTTTGTTGCAAGAAAGGTTCAAATACTCACCCTATAAAGCATTCCATTAGAAAGGTTAGAGGAAAGTTTTTGGATGCTGTTAAGGAATTTTGCGTTCCGCAGACTGAAGATACAGAAATTTTTAAATAAGGTAAGTAGATATTACCTTTGTGTAGAGCGTAGCAGTATGATGTACTTCCTTCTTTATGTTATTTCATTGTTTTATTTAAAATGCAGTGTATTGAGGTTATATATTTTTTTGTTTGGCTCTATCGTAGAACTGGGTGCTCCTTCGATTTTTAAGTGAAAATAAATCAACGTGTCCATGGACAAAGTCAAGTCAGTGCGAAATGCCGAGTTTGTGCAATTCTCTGATGTTGTTTTGAGTGAAAAATAGATCGATGTGTACATGGACACCTAGTTTGCGTAATTCTTTGACTTTTTATTTTGGTTTTGTGTAGTGGCCATCTTGAAATTGTGCCTTGCTGACCAATCACCCAAAATCACCAAGGGGCCCACCCTAAAATATATTTTTACCGAAAAAATAATTGCAACACTTAACACAGCATCAGGAATTTTAAACATATGCTGTTTTTAAAAATGTTTGCGATTTTACTGTTAAATGTGTATGGTGTAAATGAGAAGAAAATGATGCTTAATAATAAAATTAAAAAAAGCCTTCCCCCCCAAAAAAAAACACATTCGGAATGTGTGCAAGAGCTTAAAAAACCTTGGGCAACTGTGAAAAATATTTCATCTCTAAGTCCCTTATTTAAAAGCTTCAGACACCTTTTTTTATAGACTACGTCAGCTTCAATGAGCAGCCGTGAGATACTGCACAAAAAAGTAAAGCAGTTCGACGTATCTAAGAGAAATTTACGATGCATTGTATGAAATTCAATTGATGACAAATATAACTAATAAGTATAATGTAAAGAAAATACTTTTGTTTTAAAACAACAGATTTTAAATTTATACAGTCAAAAGTCGTTAATTCGGACACCCATAATCCGGAATGATCTATAATTCGGACCTCAAAGCTAAAAACTTTCTGCGCATGCGTCGCTTTGATGCATGCACGTAAGGCCTTTACGTGCTGCAAGACCTTTACGCTGCGCATTTGCGTGTGCACAAGCGCAGAATACATTTTACAAGCTGCACGTTTAATGTATAACGGACGGTATAAGCTAAAATTGATTTAATTGTCTATTTCAGTTAATGTTGATGATTGCGTTGTTCCTTAATCTTCGAATTGGATCCGGCTTATTATTTTTTGCAGACTGTAAGAGCAATTTTATAAAAGTAAGTTTGAACTTTCGATTATCTCAAATAGAATTTCCGATGTTGGAGCTCCCAAAGGATCTACGAAAACGAAAGTATGTTTCGATGTCCATCGAACAAAAAGTGGAATTGCTCCAAAAAATGGATAAAGGCATATCCTTTGTTTATCTAACCGTTCCGAAATCTGTTTATCAATTTCATGCTGCTCTGCGTGGGGGGGGGGACGTGGCGGCGCGCAATGAACTGGAAGTTGATCTGTCAACACTACGGTTATCTTCAGGGCAGGTGTTTTTATTCTATTCGGCTTATAATTCCTTATTAAATGTAGTATTTCATCTCAGTGTACTTCGTCTTTGATATGATTTAAATCAAATTCCTCGTCATTATAAATATCACGAATACAAATCAAATAGTTTTCTGGTTGCAATTTTCTTATTTCGGCTATGCATAATGTATGCTTTACGCATGCGCGCGTTGAAAGAAATGTTTAATAAAGTAAACAAATAAATATTAAGCTTTTTTTTTGTAAATTTTGATACCCTTTAGATCATAATTGCTCTTTATTTCATAAATTACGGTTTCATATTTTTAATTTTATAATTTCTGCATGCCATCTTACCAGATTTAAACTGATGATCTATAATCCGGAAAAATCGATAATCCGGAATCACCGAAGCCCCGACGAGTCCGGATTAAAGACTTTTGACTGTATATGAAATCTGACTCAGAAATCGGAATGAATATTGTTAGGAATTACTTTTATGTAGTTGTAATTTATTTATATTGAAAATAAATATATATATACAGTGTGCAGGAGCTTTTAGCTGCACTAGTGGCCGAGTGGCTAATAGACTGCTGAATACTGGTAGTTTAATCTGGGTTTGATGTTAGAGTGACTCCATGGCTAGTTTTATGAGGCATTACCTGTACATAATGTAAAAACCGACCGATTTCCCTTAAAAAGCCTTTCAGGAAGATATTCATTCTCTGAGGCACATAGTTCTTAAATAGCATAGATTTGCCATATTCATATAACCTAACCTTATCCAACAAAAAAAAAAAAAAAAAAAAAAAAAAAAAAAAAAAGAGACGTCAGACATCATACTATAAACATATATAAACATATTCCAGATTTCTTTTAGATAATTTATATCTAAAAGAATAAAATAAACAGAAAATAAGTCCAATATTAGTAGCAAAAGTACACCATGAGTTCACATTTCACAATGGAATCCTTAGTCAAACATAAATTCCACCAAGGATTAAAATTTCTAAATGCTTATCATATTTTATATTCATGCAGCATATTGAAGCTCTCGTAAGCAGCTGAGCTCTAGTGTAGAATTGGGTGCTTCTTCAATTAGCAACAATTTTTGTTGATTTTGCGGATGAAACTTCACTTCTGGCTACCATGATAGTTTTAACTTTGTTTTAGCTTCCTGATTTTATTTAAAGGAAAATAGATTGATGTGCACATGGACAAATTTAAGGCATTGCGCACTGCCTAGTTTGTGAAATTATAGTATGTTTTTTTAAGTGAACACAGATCGATGTGTACATGGGCACAGAGTTTGTGCAATTTGTTGACTTCTTATTTTAGTTTTGTGTAGCGGCCATCTTGAAATTGTGCCTTCCTGGCGCCGATCTTGGCGTCAAAAAAGTGCCGCCAATAAACAAGGGGCACCCAATTGTAAACTTTTACCAGCAGCTGTTTTTACTCTGTTGCAAACACATAGATTTGGATATAATAATTAGCAGTCTGATTCAGAACTTAATTTCGAGAATTAGAAATACAAGAGCCCTACGGAAAACCGTCTGGAAAGAGGAACAAAAATAAATAAAAATAATTAAAATTCAATAAAATTTAAAAAACAACAAATGTAACAAATGTAAACAGTTAAATAAGATACTCTCCGACTAGAATTACTATTTCACTCCAAACTAAACGGTTAAAGCTCCTTAAGGAGAATAGCGAATGCTAGAAATAGTATGAGAATATGGGAAGGAAATTTTAATTGAGTTGTGTTGGTCTGTAAACAAAGAGAGGAAAATCCAAAACTTTCTGACCGCGATCCGCTCCAGATGTAGTATAATCCTAGCTGTAAAGCAGAATGTGACAGGTGTTGGGAGACTCTATCTGAATTTCATTTATTCAACCGCTTCTATAGTAAAAAAAGGGTTTAGTAACTAAAATAAAGCAGACAATCTACCTCAGTAACATTTCTAATATTCTAAACATAAACAAAAACTAGTGTTGCCAAAACCTGAAAAATAACTTTAAAAGAAACAAACAACCGTTGAGCTGCTCGCGACGACACTGAAATTATTTTCCCCGATTTGAAGTTGATCTGTAAGGTGAGAAAAATACGAAAAGTTCTGTACAAGTTACACTTTTCGTCCCTTATTTTTGATTTCATTGTTCCAAAAAGTCTACAGATGCATTTTTCAGTGAGAAGTCTCTAGCGCTAGACATACACGATCTGTGTGATCTTTTCTAGTAATTTCAGGAAAGAAATTTTATCTGCTTTCATACATTTATTACCTTAAAGAGGTTTATTCATTCCCCGAGGCCTCTGTCGTATGGTGGAGGCTTTTCTTCTCATCCTCCGTGAAAGGGTTTGTTTCCTTCGGATAGACAGACATAATTTCAGAGATTAGTACAGATTTTCAAGTTTTACTAATAATTATAATAAAATTTTCGAAATGAAAATAATATTTTGATTTTTATTGCTGAAATTGTGGTTTAATTACATAAAAGAAGAAGCGGAGCTTTCTTATTTAAGGCTCCGATATGCTCCGGCTAGAAATGGGAATAATCTAAAAAAACAGAAGAGCCTGACTGTGGTGGACTTCGGGCAGTTTAAGCTCTGGTCTGTACATCATGAAGAACATTTAAATGTTTCTTTATGCGAAAGAAAGAATGCCACTTTCAAATGACGTTAATTTATTCTAAATTCCTTACTGGTATATGTTATATATGAATCATCTTTAGTGGTGCTAGATTTTGCAACCACTCCAATTATTATAAAGTTCATTCTAGTTTTAAAATGCCATATATTTCTTGAGCACGTTTGTGAGCATATTTGTGTTTAACCAGTGAGAGCTTTTACTGGACTACTTGATAGTTATATTTTGGAGTGAAAAATTCTTTCTATGGAAGGAATAGAAAATACACGTAAATACATAAGAGGAATATGATATTTATAAAATGGTGTATAGAATTTGCTAAAGTAAATAATTTAAACTGCTGAGTTTCTTTAGCCCGAAAGAATTTTTTAGAAACGTGTCCCAAATTTTTACATACGTCTGACATCAACGAGTGTGATTGGTCGATGTTTGGAACTGGTTGCATCAGGTTGTCTTTTGGTGTTTGTTTCCTTTTGCTTTCACGTTGGCAGCAGATACAGTTGTACCTGGAGTCCTGTTCCGAAGTTTTACTGTGGGATAAGAATTAAAAAGTCGAAAAAAAATGGGCCTCAAAAGAAGGAGCGGGACAAAAAATCCTCCAATTTTCAGTAGTGAATTTTTTATTCAAAATCATGCTGATATAATATCATGCATATCTATGGTTTTTGTAATCGGTCTTCTGTTTCAGGTAAGTTATGTTCCTGTAATTGAAGGAAATGTTATAGAATATTTGACCCAAATAAATTTTATTGGGAATTGTATTATTATAGAAAATTGTTGAATATTGTGAAATGAATTATATTATTTATATAGCTCAAAACGGAAAACAATAGTCTTTAAACTGAATTTTGTGTATTAATGATATGTTTCATTATGTCTGAAGCAATTAAGTTTACGTGGCAGTAAATCGTTAACATATTGTGCGAAATTTTGTCGGTTTAAAAGTCACTTCGTTATTTACAGTTTTCCTCACCTCTGAATTCTTTTCAGTGTGTTAAAAGATAATAATATAAATACGCGCATATTTTTAATTATTTTGTAAATCAGGCGAGCAACGAATATCGGTAATGTAAATTGACATACATTTTGCAGTGCTATTTATTATGCTGTTTAATCGTTTTGCTATTTTTTAATTACCGTCACTTATTTTAACTAGTGATTGGAAAGATTGCCTTGTATTATTTGATAGAAAGCTAAAAATAAAATAAATTTTTTTTAAAACTGCTTACCATCTGTTTAATATAACATTTTGTTTATTTATATAAATGCTAATTAGAATGAGACTAGGAAGTTTTCATCTTGCATAGAGAGGTTATTTTTTTATGAAATTGAGTTAAAGATTGAAATGCACAAAAGCAGTTAAAATAAGCAAAAGGAAAATCTCTTAGTAGCTTATTTAATTTTTTTTAAATGTCTTAAGATACATGCATTCAACATAGCAGTTTTGATACTTCTTTATTATAGTGGCTGTCTGATATTGAATTGGTAATAAACTGAGATATCTCGCCACATGTACTTATACCTTGTTGTTACATCTTTACATTAAAGATTAAATTTTGGGGCCACTATAATAAGAAAGTACTGAAATTTTCTGTAAAATTTTAAAAAAAGATTCACAGAAATAATTTTGTTTTCTATCATTTGAATCCATCTTTATGAGGAATCTGAGTTATATATAAACATATCATTGTTGATATTAGCTTATTTTATAAATTGCATTTCTGGTTGTGTAAGCTTGGTTCAAAGAAATGGGACTATTTGTGGCTAATTCAGAATTGATTAAATATGATAGATTCCATAAGTTGTGTTAAGCATTACATGGAAAATAAGTTGTATTACAATCTATGAGTTCCTATAGGATGATCATCTTAATTACAAATTCATTCAGGTATTAAATGTTTTGCTTATAATTATTGCATGAATTGTTTTTCAGAGATCTGTAAAAATAATTTTTGGTATATGATATATTGATGAATTTTTGTGTTTTATAATGAAGGCATCAGATTTGTAATTATGTTTTGAATTTTTTCAATATAATTCAGTTGGGCCGTTTGTTGAAAATAAAGAACTGGAGTGTTAGGTCTGTCTTCAAAATGATATTCATAAAGTATATAAATATAGCAGTTTTAAAATTAAACACTGAATATAGTAAACGCTTATTAATTTCAAAATATATAAGAAATCAGAAAAACTGACTTTTTGAAAGTGTTTACCCAAATCATTCCTTTTTCACGACTTCTGAATGTCTAAATATAAAATTAATGAGAGCTTACTGTATATGAAGGAGTATAAATTAAATTTTAAATCATAGTTTATAATTTTTACTTAAACTGTAAAGAGTAACTGTCAAATATTTTCAAAAGTTGTTCAAAAAAATAAATATGTAATTATTTCCTCTTTCTGATAGATAAGAATAAGTCAGTATAGATAAGAATACGTTTAATTTTTCTCTTTCTTTGGCTTTAATATATTCTTTATCTTTGTTTAGAGCAGATATTTTTTTTAATGTAATTTTTATGTTACTTAAACAGCATTTACTATTTTTAGGTATCTGCTCCTATAGCATCTGTATTTGTTGCTATGCATCACAATGTGACTGAAGGTAAGTTTTTAAAGCAATTTAGTAAAACTTTATTTCCTTGTATGTAATTTAGCATTAGTTAATTCCTTAAATTTAATGTTCTCATAATCTGATTTCTGGAATGTTGTGGAAAAATTAAAATAACAAGGTATGGGATAAAAAAATTTGTTACTGGGCAGGTAATTAGAATTGAAAAATGGAAAAAATTGATAATCGAAACCTCTATTAGTAGACCCTGCATTTAGTACACAAATCCAAGTATCCATATTCCATGGACCTTTAAATTAAATCTCTGTGCTCCCAAAAAGACTAGAAAAAAATTTTAATGTGGTATGTTAATATACATAAAAGTATACAGTTTTGTTAATAAATGCAGGTATTTAATTATTATTTTTATAATTTATTGGATGATAATTTTTTAAATTTAATAAAGTATGTGTTTATATAACTATTTCAATATTTTGTAAACCTCCAGTAACAGACCCTGCATTTTAGTTGATACTCCCTGTTCATAGAAAATCCAAAATCCAGACTGGTCGGGACTTCGGTGATTCCAGATTTGGAATTTTTCTAGCTATTAGATCATCAGTTTAATTCTAGTAAGATGGCATGTAGAAATTATAAAATTAAAAATATGAAATCATGATTTATGAAATAATGAAGTACAGTCAAAAGTCCGGACTCGTCGGGACTTTGGCGATTCCGGATTATCAATTTTTACGGATTATAGATCATCAGTTTAAGTCTGGTAAGATGGCATGCAGAAATTATAAAATTAAAAATATGAATCCTTAATTTATGAAAAAAAAAAAAGAACAATTATAATCTAAAGGGTATCAAAATTTACAAAAAAAAAAAAAAAAAAAAAAAAAAAAAAAAAAAAAAAAAAAAAAAAAAAAAAAAAAAAAAAAAAAAAAAAAAAAAAAAAAAAATAAAAAAAAAAAAAAAAAAAAAAAACAAAAAAAAAAAAAAAAAAAAAAAAAAAAAAAAAAAAAAAGCTTAATATTGATTTATTTATTTTGTTAAACATTTCTTTCAATGTAAGTTGTTTAAGTTGCTTCGTTTTATGTGATAATACTTTCTCTTTAATTCTATAAACAGACATAATTTCTTGTTCAGTAACAAAGTTCCGCTGTTCAAGTCCTATAATTGCTGTGTCGAGAATACCGACTAATTTGTCATTCGGAATTTTTTCGTTTTCAATAACATCTGTATCACTTTCTTCACTATCGGAAGCAAATTATAATGATGAGGAATTTGATTTAAATCATATCAAAGACGGAGTACATCGAGATGAAATACTACATTTAGTAAGGAATTATAAGCCAAATAAGATAAAAACATCTGCCCTGAAGATAAGGATAGTGCTGACAGATCAACTTCCAGTTCATTGTGCGCCGCAATGCCCCGTCGCAGAGCAGCGTGAAATTGATAAACAGATTTCGGAATGGTTAGAGAAACAAAGGATATGCCTTTATCCATTTTTTGCAGCAATTCCACTTTTTGTTTGATGGACATCGAAACATACTTTTGCTTTGTAGATCCTTTGCCAGCTCCAGCATCAGAAATTCTATTTGACATAATCGAAAGTTCAAGCTTACTTTTATAAAATTACTCTAACAGTCTGCAAAAAATAATAAGCCGGATCCAATTCGAAGATTGAGGAACAACGCAATCTGCAACATTAACAGAAATAGATAATTAGAAAATTTTAGCTTAGCTTATACCGTCCGTTATACATTAAATGCGCATGTGTAAACGTATTGTGCGCATGCGTGAACGCATTATGCATTGACGCATACAGTTTGTAGCTTTGAGGTCCGGATTATAGATCATTCCGGATTATGGGTGTCTGGATTAACGACTTTTGACTGTATTTATGATCTAAAGGGTATCAAAATTTACAAGAAAAAACTTAATATTTATTTTTATATCTTATTAAACATTTATTTCAATGTAAGTTGTTTCGTTTTTTTGTGCTAATATTTTCTCTTTAATTCTGTAGACAGACATATTCTCTTGTTTAGTTACATTGTAGAAGTCCTGTAACTGCTGTGCCGAGAATTCCGACTAACTTGTCAGTCAAAATTTTTTTGTTTTCGGTAATTTTGTCACTTTCTTCGCTACCGGTAGTGGTATTTTTCTGGATCTAGAACCATACTACAGATTTCATCATTCATTAATTGATTGATGATTGAGAAGCATTGTCATCACAATAAAAAGCTTTTTTGGTACTTTTCTGTTTCGCCGGCTCAAATCTCGCCAAGCAGACTTTGTTGGCGACAACATACAGTATACACATAAAAAATGTTAATTCTAAGAATTTTTTTTTTATTTTGAAGGCATAAACATTTTAATATGGTTTAAAATTTTGTAAAAAGCCAATAAATAAAGACAATAAATTTGTAAAAAGACATTAATTTAAGAATTTACTATGATTTCATGGTTCAAAATCCTGATTCGCCGGTTCGTATCACGTGACCCCAAGTGATCTCATCTCACGTAAACTACGCTACTAAAATCTAATTCTCTCAGTAATTATCTTCATTAATTTCAAGTTAAATCTTAATTTGGAATACAAGTTCAAATGCAAGAATTATTTCAATTCGTACGAATAGCTTACCCAGAAATTATGTAAAACTGCAGTGCTTTACTTCGCTAGTGCTTTCTCATTAGAATTGATGAATTTAACACTTGATTTTGCCTTCGGATGAGTGGTGTAATTGCGTTCTAATTGACTTAATTACCGTGAATTGTCTTAGGGGATAAAATTTAAATATCATGTAAAAATTCTATATTATTGTATGCCATTATTGAAAGAAACAATCTGATAAGAAATTGCTTCAACTTGTTTTGAAACTGAGGCGTAAAAGGTTACCAGCGAAGATATTCCGTCTGGCATCAGTTAAACCATTATTGGCGACTTTTATCGTTTGCGCCGGCAAAACGGAAAAGTACTGCTTTTTTTTATATCATTTATTACCGCTTCTCCACATTTCTTTACAAAATCCGTTAACTGGAAAATTTCACCTTTGTTTTGCGATATTGGAAAACCTTTAAAATTAGCGGCTATCATTATCAAGTTTAGCTGTTCTTCACTATACATATTTGGCTATGCATCATGAGCTTGGTGACTAACGACAAATTGTTTTGTTAAATTTTAACTTGCGTCTATCGTGCACTGAGGCAATTAAGCCTGAATTGCATTAGTTTAGTTATTTATTATATTTATGTCTATTTCTTGCGCATGTATAAGGCTTATCAGAGTTCTGAATAAATACATTTCCACATATACCTAAGCATGAGGGTTGGTGCTAGACATCTAATCGCAGTCTCTATGGGTCCTAAATTCTGCAACCTAGTGCACCCTTACAAGCCCTGGCGTTGGTTCTGGGTTTATGTGAATAACAAATCAGTTATTTTCAATTCAAATAGCCCTAAATATAATCTTTGTGTCTATGAGTATCATCAACAAAATCTATTTTTAGCATACGGAAAGAAATTTTTGTTAAATGTTTCCCCGTCAACATTTTTAGCGCATTTAACTTAAATCTGTAATCATTGCCAAGCGTAATGTTAACATAAAAGGTTACCATACTCCTTTATCATTCAATTACTAACATACAAAAATTGTTTAGGCATCGCTGAGTCATTACACAAGTTGTCATATGGTAATAAAGGGAAAGTATTATTATGATTCGCCAGGTTGTCGTCAGATCAAGGATGTATCTATGTGGAATGTGTTTCGGTTTGAGATGTGTGCCAAAGCAGATACGCAGCAACGGAGCCAAATTACTGATCGTACATATTTATGCTAAAATGTTTGTTTCTTTAATAACAAGGTATTTTATTTAGTGTCGAAGTGAAATTAAGAATCGGGACTCTCCAGATATTTTATTATGTTTGAAGGGGGAAATCAAATGCGCATGCGTAAAGCCTACAAGAAAAACATTCTTGGTGGTTTTGAGGCCTGGATTTTAGATCATTCTGGATTTCGGATTTTGTACTGTATACATACATGTATAAAATTTTGTTTTTAATAAATGCAGGTATTTAATTGTTATTTTCACAATTCATTAGATGCAGATTTTTTAAAAATTTGGTCTAATCTTTGGAATATGGTAACATTTTGGTAAGATAACATTTGATATGATAACATTTTAGTAACATTTGGTGACATTTTGGTAAGGCGATAAAGGTTACTATCTAGGATTTTATGTAAGCGTTACACATGCGTGCGTTGAAAGAAATGTTAATTAAAGTAAATAAATAAATATTAAGCTTGTTTTTTTTTGTAAATTTTGATACCCTTTTGATAATAATTGCTCTTTATTTCATAAATTACGGTTGCATATTTTTAATTTTATTTAATTATATTTATTAAATTGATGATCTATAATCCGGAAAAACTGATAATCCGGAATCGCCTGAGTCCCGACGAGTCCGGATTAAAGACTTTTGACTGTATATGGTACTTTTTTTCCTTTGTGTCAGTTATATTTTTTATGTTCTTAAACTAATGTGAGTATTAATAAAATATATTTTGCAGCACTTGAGCCCAGTGATATTGTTCTGTATACATATGGACGCCAAGATGTCTGCGTTATTACATTTTATTTTCTCATCGCAATAGTAATGCATGCAATCCTGCAAGAATATGCTCTTGATGTAAGACTGCTATTATATTTATTCCTATTCCTTTTTATTTATTGCAGCATATCAAAATGTTTAGTTTTGTATGAGTGTGTGTACCAGTGATCCAAAAGTAATAGAAAATGTAAAAATTTAATAATTCAGAAAGTATATGAAGTTGCACTGCAATTTTCACAGAAATATACAGAAAAACTTGGAACTTTTTTTAATTAATGAAATATTTTATTGCTAGATTAATTGCATTTTAATTTGTATAAAAATTGTAGTTTGATTTCTAAAACTTTAAACTCAAAGATGGCATATAACAATTTGTACTTAAGTACGAATTGATCACCAAACCGTGAAAGTTGGCAGAGACACCCCAAAGTTACACCAATTGTTCTGACAGAATTCTGAAAGAACCGATTCCTCTTTATTTAGTAAACAGTCAGTATTCTATCTTCTTCATAAAATGGCTTTCATTATTTTCTACCATTTTGTTCGATATTTGGGCAGATTAGTGCAGCCCGAACGCATCTGTCTTTATCTGCACGAGTCAGCTCATTTGGCTCCCAGCGTTTGAATCCCAGCTCCCAGCGTCGAAAAGTGTTCGGTCCTTTGATTTATGAATGCAGACTTCCTGTAGGTTATTGTTCCAGTTACTGTTTTATCAGGAATATTGAGTTGACCTCATCTTGTCTGTTAACACTGCTTTGGTGGTGGGATCTCACAGCTACATATCTCATAGCTCATTATTAAATATACCATTAAAAAGTCATTAATTATAAATTATTAAATTTATTTATTGTTCATTATTTTATACTCTATTAAAATTATCTTTGTTTGCAAAGTTAGGCCTTTTAATTTGACCTAAAAATTTATCTCCATTAGAATGCAAAGAAACAAAAGTATGCATGCACCTGCACTTGTGTATAGTTCATATATTTTTTCAAGTAACTTTCAAAATAAACTTTAATTATTTGACTTTAATGATTATTATTAATTAAATTTCTTTAAAGTACTTGAAACTTGCCATTTATCTATGGTGTATGATATTTGAGACTTATTGACTGTGATGAATATGGTCATGATACATTTTAAGGGGGAATGAAATAAAATAAAAACTTTACATCTTTAAGAAAAGTGTTCCAATCAATAAGTTGTTCCTTATCTTACTAATTTTTTTAATGACTCTATACTTACTGTACTATGCATAATTGTCCTGAAGAAGTTCTAAAAATAATGTGACTTGAAACATTGCAGATAGAAAAAACCAAATTAATGGATTTAAGAATTGCGTTTATTGTGGTAATCGTATTACTGTGTTTGGAAAATGATTATCAGTCTTGAAAAATTTTGACTTTTTCAATCATCATATAGAAATCTGTAGAAACTAAATTAAGAAATGATTTTGAAGAGATATTTTCTGCATTACTCTAATAAATGAATGCGTAAGAATAAAATCATTTACCTTATTCTTATGCATTTGTCAAAAAGACGCATACAAACAAACACAAAATAATAGAATAATAAGCAAATCTTTTACTTATTGTTTATTTTTTAGGAAATTTGGGGTAGAATATTAAACTGATTATGTTAGAATCATTTCTCTAGACTTTCAAGGGCACATGATGCAGTTTTACTGCAGGGTTCTCATTTGCACTAAGATATTTATTGCTAATATATCTGGTTAACTAATCTGTATATTCATATTAAAGAATAAATAAATATACTTGTTTGTTGATATTATCATCTTATTCTTCTTTGTTCAGTTTTCCCCTAAATTGTCCAGGAGTTGTTTTGGTTTTGTGGTTTAAGAAAAATTGTAGTTTAATTAAATCTAACAGAAATTAACTTGCATACAATGTCAAAGCATTTTCATGAATTTGCATTAATCAGCCAGCAGTATCGTCAGCAGCATTTCTTAAAAAGGCCCTTATATGCCCGATGCCCTTATGTGTTTTTAATATACAAATTATCTATGTTAAACTGCATAGAATAACACCTACATTAATAGATTCTAATAAGTATGTGATAAAAGCGTAGGTAAAACAGGCTGCTAAGCAAGACCTTTAATGCTGGATAATTATTAGTAAATGTTATCAGTCATATCAAAATTATTGCAATTTTGTAACATAATTTTTTTAATGATATACATACTTTTAATTGCTATGTTTTAAAATTTGATTAAGATCACATTTTAATTACATAAGTAACACATAAAAAAGTAATTCTTTTTGTTTTTAGAAATTAAATAGAAAACTTCATCTATCAAAAGTGAAGCACAGCAAGTTCAATGAGTCTGGCCAATTACTTGTATTTTACCTGATTTCCCTAATTTGGGGAGGAGACATTATACTGAGAGTAAGTATAATTATGTTGAAATTTAATTATATTTTAATTACATTTATGTCCAAATTTATCTTTATGTAGCAAAATTAATGACATTCCATGAAATAGCCAATCAATGTAATCCATTTTTACATGGAATGTGTGATAAACGAGATTGTAATAGGATTTCTACTGCTTGGCAGTTAAGTTTAGAGTTTGCAGTCACCAGTGAAACTGTTGTATCATGACAAACTGTATACAGAAGGCTTAATGAAAAATGCTTTATGTCAGAAAGCCAAGGGTATGCATTTCAGCGTCTTCACAACAAAAAAGGAATCTCTTTAGTTGATACAAAGAATATCATTGGCCCCATGTTTTCTTTAGTGATGAGTTAAAGTTTAGTTTAACATCTGATTCTAAACCTGCTTACATCTGGAGGGAATCAGTAATGCAAAATCTTTCTATGAACATTATGAAACATGATTATTTTAGTAATGCAAATGAGGAGGAATAATGGTAGATGAATGTATACCCTACATGTTTTTAACAGAAGATGTGTTACTGGCCAGAAATGTCTTAACCTTATGTGAGACAGAGGTAGATATGGATTTGACCTTTTATTTTATGGATGATAATGCGCACCCCCATCAAACAAACCTCGTTGACAAATTCCTTGAAAGCAAAGACATTGAGCAATACTCTTTTAAACACCTTATTTTGTTCTAACCAATTATTTTTATTTTAAGAAACTTTCTTTTCCCTTCTGATTTCAGTTTCCTGCCAGGGGTTTAAAAATAGTATTTAAGTATCAGAATTTAAGAGTTTGCGGTAGGAGAGTTAGTTCCTACTTTATGCTGCGTGTTTGGAAGTAGTTTTGTAGCTGACTATTTGGTGCTATCCACTTTCTTTAGATTATATTGATTCTATGTTCAGCTTTGCTCTGTGCAGCTGATTAAGCGGTTAGATTTAGTAGAAGCCAGTCATGTAGCTAAACGTTAATTCATTGTGATTGTACATACTATTTTGTCTTCCAGTTATTTAGCCACAAGTGGTCGTTAATTTGTAAGCGCTGAGTGAGTGTGTGCTCTGTTCTGTTTAGTTAAAATAAAAAGGTTGTTACAGTCAAAAGTCGTTAATCCGGACTCGTCGGGACTTCGGCGAATCCGGATTATCGATTTTTCCGGATTATAGATCACCAGTTTAAATCTTGTAAGATGGCATGCAGAAATTCTAAAATTAAAAATATGAAACCGTAATTTATGAAATAAAGAACAATTATGATCTAAAGGTTATCAAAATTTACAAAAAAAAAAAAAAAAAAAAAAAAAAAAAGCTCTATATTTATTTGTTTACTTTATTAAACATTTCTTTCAATGTAAGTTGTTTAAGTTGCTTCGTTTTATGTGATAATACTTTCTCTTTAATTCTATAAACAGACATAATTTCTTGTTCAGTTACAAAGTTCCGCTGTTCAAGTCCCATAATTGCTGTGCCGAGAATACCGACTAACTTGTCGATCGAAATTTTTTCATTTTCACTAACCTCTCTGTCACCTTCTTCATGTCTTTATCCATTTTTTGCAGCAATTCCACTTTTTGTTTGATGGACATCGAAGCATACTTTCGTTTTGTAGATCCTTTGGGAGCTCCAGCATCGGAAATTCTATTTGACATAATCGAAAGTTCAAGTTTACTTTTATAAAATTGCTCTAAAAGTCTGCAAAAAATAATAAGTCGGATCCAATTCGAAGGTTAAGGAATAACGCAATCTGCAACATTAACTGAATTAGATAATTTTAGCTTATACCGTCCGTTATACATAAAACGCGCACGCGAAAACGTATTTTGGCGCTTGCGTGCACGCGTAAACGCCTATGCGCATGTGTCAACGTGGCGCATGCGCAGAAAGGTTTTAGCTTTGAGGTCCGGATTATAGATAATTTCGGATTATGGGTGTCCAAATTAACGACTTTTGACTGTATAGCCTTTGTCTGTAGTCATCTGTTCTTCCAAGGTATAGCGAAAATTTGCTACTGCATATTTTAGTAGGATCTGCAGTTTATGCTCCCAAATCACACAAGAAGAATCTACACTGACCAACAAAATCTCCCGACTTAACCCGATAAAGAACTTATGGGACTGTTTTGGAAAAGCGTTTGCATAAAGACATACTGTTCGTAGAAATGTAAATACCCTAAAGACTGCATTGCTGGAGAAGTGGAGTAATTTTTTCCCAAGTTCTTCTCTCCTCTCCCTGAACTCTTCTTATAATGTATTATTGCCATTTTTATTATTTCATTTGCAATATTTTATATGCTTGAAGGGTCATTCTAATGTAGTATATGCCATTTAACAGCCATGAACACATCGATCAACATGGTGAAAATAAATCAGAGTGCAACAAAGAAAAATTTCTCTTATATTTAGGGAAAAATTCTCTTAAGTATTGGACATCCATCTAATCTTTCAAAATGGGATGTATGATTATATGCTTTTCATATTACAGAAACCTGCTATTATGGAATGTAATTTGATCAGAAAAAACTGCAAGGTTTGCTTCACACAAAGAATTTATTGGTAACTCCAGCCAGTTTTCATTGTTCAAGTTTCCTTATATTTTGAAACAAGTTTCCTTATATTTACTCATGAAACTGCTTTCAGAAATGTTAGTAGCAATCAAATTTTTTTTGTTTATATTCTGGTACGTCATTGCTTGATTCGTCACTTATTAGCTTAGTCTTAAATGATCTTTCTTTCCTCATTTCATGAATTCACTTTGTTTCTTTGGGTTTGTTTGTTGCACTTTGACTTTCTTTGATGATGCTGAAATATTCCTTAACTATTTTACTTCTAAGATTCCTTTTAGATTTAGAAAATTTTATTCTTGTTTTTGCTTAACAAAATTAATAGGAATGTACCTCCCTGTTTTGCTTGTAATTTATAGATAAATATTTTATCTTTATTTAAAGGAGCAGGAAAGAGTTCCGATTCAGTTAGCTCAGGTTACTTTGATATAAGCATCAACTTTTTTTCCTCCTTTCAAGAAAGAAAATTTAAGCAGAAATGTGCCCATATTTTATTTTTGTTTTCTCCTTAACTTTAGAGATATAATATATCTGTTGAGTGAAGACTCCTGTCAGAAGAAAACTTCTGTTGCTGTGAAAATCTGAAATTATATTTTAATATTTCAGTGCATCACATTAGACATTACAAACATAAGATCTTTGGTTGAATCAACTCCTTCCTATATGGATGGATCATATAAAACTATACTTATTGAAAAATACAATACCGTATTTGACGGCGTATAAAACGCACCCTTATTTAGAAGGCCACACACAAGGAAAAATATTTTCAATAGTCCGCACTATAGCGCGGTGCCACAATAACTTAAAATGTGGTTTCATTTAGTTCTCACGTTTCGTAAAAGCCAAATAAACAATCATTGAATGCAATTACCTAACATATTTTTATTAAGGAAAATTAACAAACGGCAAGCTATTTTGAACATGATATGTAAATTTTAATAGTGAATAAATGAATGAACGGCAAGCAATCAAACATAATACAAAATAAAGCAGAAACAACAAAAACACAGATTCAAGGAAAATATTGCCTATCATGAAATTAGACTTTAATCACTTTCAAAACCATAAAAATCCTTTTCACTATCATCATCATTGAAAACGAGAATATTGTCATCACTACTGTTTCCGTCATCGCTAGTATCACCTTCTTCGAATAATGCGTCGTCTTCTGTTCTGTCAAGAGCATTACCGATTCCGCACTTCTTAAAGGACTTAACAATTACTTCAGCCTTTTACATCCTTCCAAGATCTTTTTACTCACTCGCACACTTATGAAATAGAGGGCCACTTCATTCTACCTGAGGGTGTGAGGGCGTGATGTGGCTCTCCTATCCACTTGTTCCATCGTTCGTGCACTTTTTCCTTAAATGGCTTATTCACCGATATATCTAAGGGCTGCAATTGGCTAGTCAGTCCACCAGGAATGACAGCTATCTGGATTTTTAATTTTCTCGCTTTATTCTTTATGGTTTCAGTTCTATGGGTGCTAAACTGATTCAAAACCAAAAGAGAGGGTTTTCTTACGAGTCCACCAGGTCACCTCACCCATACGTTCTGTAACCACAGTTTCATTCCAGCTTCGTCCATCCAGCCTTTTGGATGACCATGAACAATTACACCCATTGGAAGTTTTTCTTTCGGATGAGTTTCTTTTGAATATGAAAAGCGGTGGTAGTTTTGACTGACACGTGTTTCGGATGAGTCAAAGAAAGTCTATGTAAAGAAGGAAAGGCTCCATATATGTAATGTGACTGTCGAACCTGTTCGAACTTTGACATCAGCTTCGAGCTTTGGCGCTTTTTGGCGACAGATATTTCACGCATGCACAGAATAATTATGGCAGATGTAGAAAAAGTTACGTGTGTCTAGACCTTTATCCGAGTTAAAAATAGCATTCAGTATTGAAAGTTAACCTTTGTCCTTCACGTATAAGACGCAGGTAACTTTTTTGAGACCAAATTTCAGAAAAAAAGTGAGTCTTGTATGCCTTCAAATATGGTAATTCCATTTGTTTAGTTATGGAGATTCAAAGACTTCAACATCTTGTTATGTTCAAGTCTAGCTAAGTCTTAACTTGGTCTTCGGCTACATTCTTCTACTTTGATTTTAAAAGTTCAAGCTTCTTTATGTTGTTAACACTTTGCAGGCAAGAGACTGTAATCACAGTCCAGAGGAATGGGGAGGAACGTTGAAACTGGGAGAATGTAACCTCAGTTGCAAGTGGAAAACTAATGTCCTCATAGTGATACAATTGCTGGCAGGTTATTAAATTATTCTTTTAGTGATAATGAACTTTCAGATAATGACAAAAATTATTCAGAGAAAAGTGATATTTTTTCAGTGAAAAGATGGCATCATAGATGTTATTTCTAAAACATAGTCTTATCATTAAATATCATTAAAATAAAAATACTTCCTTCACTCATCCCAGATACCGAGCAATCCA